AAACAGTGCTCTTCTTATTGAGGTTCAACTGTAATGTTGCTATCTAAAGTGGCTTGGGTGCAAGTTGAGGAAAGTTGCGCAGGAGACATCTCAGACCAAAACATTCCTAACATTAAACAAAAAAGAATGGCACAAAGACATGTGACCAATCATGAGCAACATGCTGCTGGTGTAAAGCTTGCCCCATATCTACTGAGACACAAACAAAATATCTGTCAACAGCATTCCAATGTGATAATGCAAATTCAACTGGAAAACCAATGCTATTGGGCAACTATCAAATTAAGTTTGCAAATAGCTCATGGGCATCAGTCACAATCATGTTACCAACACCTCTTCAGAACTTTTGTCCCCCCCAAAAATAGCAATATTCATAAAAAAGCCTGCCATGCAGAGCTTGAATTTAACATACATTTTGGCTTGCTACATGTACATGTGTGCCTATGACCACTTTCACATTTTGAACCAAAAAAATGACTTCACCAAAAACAGGTGCTGCAGAATTGGCCACTGACAGAAACATTGGAAAGTCTTGTCATCTGGTAATGTCAAAAATCTTTCAGAGAATGAAAAGCATAAAACTGAAGTGAAGACGAGAAGAAATTCTTACACTCAAGTCTGGACAAGTGAATGCTGTACACTCACTGAAAGCCTTTGTTTAGAAGCTGTGTGTGATTGCTGTTCCAAACAAGTGGGAACATTGGTGAAGACAAAAGAGTAAGGTGCACAAGGTGATCTCAAGCATGTGCAATGCTTATTTTTCACACAACAGTCTACTGAAAATCCCCACAATCCCCCTAGATGGTTGAAAGAAACATCTACAGATGAGAAGAAAACATTCTCAAGTGAAAAATCGAAATTGGATGTTAGTGCACACAGACAGGTTAGGTCCACTGACTAACCTGTTCCCATGGCGACCCAGGTAATAGTGTCTCATGCAATGCCGAGTCCAACCAGTGCAGGTTGAATGGACGATACCTGCTCTGCTCTGAAAGCCTGCCCTCGACGGGCTGAATTGGTGCAGGTTTGCTTTCCATTTCCTAGCTAGAGTTCCTTGGTTGGGAAACTTGATGGCTAATTTCAAAGTCAGCATTCGCAACCGTGCAGCTCCTGCATGATGTCCAATATTATAGTATCAAGCTATCTTCAGTGTGCACGTCTACTTAAGAAACCAGGTGAGAATCAAGGTTTGAAGTTCAAAAGCGGTCGAGAAAAATAGGTACCACTAGTTCAGTTTATTGCACGTGTTTGTGATTGACATCAGACTGAAGTTATTTGCAGGTAGTTGGTCCCATTTCAGTTTGTTTACAGACTACCACAATTTTTTTTTTAGGTTCGTTTTCTGGAAGAAGGGTCTATCCAGAAGACGTAGTGATGGCAAATTTCCTTTGAAGGGTAGAACGACACAAAGTTCCTTGTGAGTTACTTAAAAGCAGACAGGAATGTTGACTGCAGAGTGAGCAAACGGCACTCTGACTAACGTTTCTTGTCTGTTCAGGTGGCTTTCACAGGAGGTTTGATGTCATGCCAACTGCAATTCAGCCGGATCCCTTTTTCAAGCCGGGAAGGGGGAAGAAAGTCTCTAGAAATTCCTTTTGGATTGAACACAGGAAGTGTTTCACTTAATTAGTCAGTACTGTTGCATCTTTAATTCACATCAGCAAACTCCAATCCCCTTGCATCTGGACTCTAGTGATTGATGAGGTCACTATGGACTGTTCCGTCAGTTGGACTATGAGGTACACAGACAGAGGTAGTATTCTGCAGAATGTGGTGAAAGGGTACCGATGAGCGTTGGGTGCACTAGCTAGGTGGTTTGAGGTCTGGGGGGCTCTCTCCAAAGCAGTGTTTGGCCACAGGGTCCCTGTAGGTGTTCTCGTGCTGCACACTCTGGAAGAGCAAGAGAGAGAGAGAAAAAAAAAACAAGCAAGAGGGTCAATACTACATCGTGAAGCACAGCCGATGTCAGAGTCTTTGCCATAATCAAGACATCAAGCACCAAGAAAAGATTCTAGATTCTAGAGCAGTCTCTCTCTGTGATAGTTACTGAAGTTATGGGCAAATCGTAATGACCCGAAGGGTCTGACATGTCTGGTAGAAGACAAAGGAAGGATGCATTTAACTAACAGCACCTGCAACCACTTAACACGTGCATGCCAAAGTCCGCACCAGAATAACGCCAATCATGTACACACAGAAACAGGAATTTTAGGATATCCCTCATCACCCTGGACCCTCAAATCTCAAACAAACAAGCTGGAAGACACAGCCAGGACCCACCTCTGATGATGTGCGACACTTGGTGAGGCAGAACTCGTATTGACTGTTCACCTCCCGGAATAACAGTTTGAATGTGTTACTGGCCTTGCCAAGCACACCTTGCACTACATCCTCCTGGAAAAAAATTGTGAATCAAACATGTAGGAATGTTGGAACAGAGTGCAGCCGGATCACAAGTTACAACTTTTAGAAACAGGACGGATTTCAGTTCAGTTTCAAATGATTCCTTAAACTGTGGTAATTTTTTCCAAGGGTGCCTGGTTCCAGTCAAACGGACATTCATCTGCAACCCAGCAGACCTTATTCACGTGGAAGCCATGTTTAATCTTATTCCCTGAAATTATCACAATCAAAGTAATCTGTTAAATGGGATGGTACCAGACTATTTGGGGTTCCACACCACACTTCAATTTCTTTTAGTGGCTTAAAACATTTAGATATGATTTATCACAAATTTGAAATTATTCTAAACAAATAAATGGTATCAATTTGTATTGAACTCTTATTTCGTCACTATTATTTTACTCTAAGCTTCTAAAAAATGAGAAGTATCACTTCGATTTCGATTAATGATGGCAAAATCATAATACAGTCTATTACCACTCACTTTTGCTTTCTGAGGTACATGTAAATAGCATACAATTGTGCATACACTTTGTGTAATCCCATATCCATATGAAAAAAACAAATTAAAACATGTGTCATTCTGTATATTCAGGGTCCCAACTTGTGACATTTTTCCAACCTGTGTAATTTGACATGAAAGCATAACTGAAATTGGCTTCAAACTAGTTTTACTTGTTTAGCAAGTAACTTGCATCCCTTAAATGCTCCTGGAAATTAAAGAATGAGTTTCACCTTGCAAAATATAATGTCATAGTTAACAGAGACACAAAAAACTTGGCCCTAAATTTATAGAATGACCCACATTTCGTGACACTGAAACACCCAAACTCTGCCATAGTCCAAAATTCAAGTTTTGTTATTTCCCTAACGTGACTCCAAACTGCACAGGACAGCCAGTCATGCAGTGTATGGAGCGTGAAGCCCTAACTCTGCTGGTGTACAAAAGTGTCATTGGGTTACTTAGTTCTTTTGTTCCACAGGGAAGCCTCCTTTGTGCATACCCTGTGGAACAAAAGCACTGGCCTACAAGATGGCAGCCATGCAAACTCTCAAAAGGAAAACAAATGTAGGTTTAAAAAGCAAATGAGACTAAGCCAGACGCTACTGACTCAGATTTATGAGACAACTTCTAAGTCACCTTCTCCAAACATTAACACAAAAATGAGATCGTCTCAGTTGCAGAGATCGCCCTACCTTCTCAGGGTGCATGCAACAAGACACGCAGTTCTCGTAGACAGAGCAGCAGTTGGTGCTGCTGCGACAGCCTTCGCAGGTGTAACGCAGCGAAAGTCGGTGCTCGGGGTCGCAGCAGGAATTGGTCTGGACGGCTTCCCTTGGGCACACAAACCCTACACGGCAAAGCGTAAATGGGAAGCAATTGGCCAAGTTAGTTTTGGAAAATTCCTGATGGATGTGATTTCAAAACATCTGGTTCGCTTTGAGGTACATGTACATGTACTGACTTTGAGAGCATCTGGAAATCTGAACTGCCTGGATCCATCACTGGGTGGTATACCCATTCTCACTAGGAATACATTTTTGGAAATTGCCACAACAGCTGAGAATAGCCTTTAGCCGGTTTCTTTTCATTTCAACAGAGAAAAACACGATCAGTTGGCAAGCTTTTACAGACCTGAAAAAAGTAAGAAAGCAAACTGCCTTTGTTGCGGTGGGATCAATACTAACAGTATTAAAGGAATTGTACAATTTTGCGTGTTGCGGTACGGTCAGCAGGCAGACAAGTCAAGGCTGACTGCTTGCTTGCAGTAGGCACATACCCCTGCCAGGCAAAATGCAATAACATACATGTGCATCATCCACATGTCTATTTTATTTATGTATAAGTCTTGAAGTCCCTTCAGTACATAGAATGTGTCAGTAGATTTATGCAGCGGCGAATTGTTTTGGAGGAAGCTTAAAGGCCTGTTCATGTGTCGCAAAATGAATGCAAATTTGTAATGTCAGATTAAACAGCCGTGTTACGAATTCTCTCAAGTTGAACACGTTTCAGCTTGCGCAAAATATCGCTGCAGATTTTTCGCGACATCAAACTCGCTTCGCTTTCACATTAGCCTGCAGTATGAGCAGGCCTTAAGGTTGTCATCAAAGGGAGGGGAGTTATGTACCTCGGTTGTCTACCACCAGGCTGTGCCCTTGCTGTGAATTTTGACAGTTGGAGGAGTTGTTCTGATCAATGGCCTCGCCACCTGCCCTCAGCTGCAACTGCAGAGTGGTGTGCGGCAGGTCACCGAACCTGTCGCTGATCACACCAATTGGAACTTCCTGCAAATGGGAAAAATTTCTGGTCATTCGCATATAGTCAAGGTAACCTTTGGAAAGCTTAAAGGAAAGTGTTTCATACACAGACATCACTTGAAACCTAGAGCACCAACCCTGGCAAGGCTGAAACTGATCTGAAAAAAATGTATTTCTGAGGAAATGCTTCAATATTTTCCTGCTGAATTTGACATTTTAGGCTATGTTATTGCTCTCTGATGGCCTTTACACGGTATCTTCATCTGTACCAGGAGGCTGCCATGGCCATTATAGTTGAGAAAACTGGTATCAGGGAAAAACATTTTGATGTTTTCACATGAAATGAGGAGAGGCCTGTTCTTTTAAACCTGACCCCCTACACCCCTTTCACATCTCCAGCCCTTTAAAATATTGTCACCTCAATCTAAAAATCGTTTGGGTTAAAAAAATGTCACCGAAGTGGATGTTCTGCGCAATCTTTGAAAGCACACATTTCAAAATTAGCATATGCAACTTTCAACTTTCTGCATAACCACAGACATTGCCACAAAAACAGAACAGCACGATAAAAATTGCATGGTACATGCATTGCATGAACACCAGGCAATGCAACAGTTGCATGTAAGAGATTGACATCAATTATCACTGTTTGCATGAATTTAAAATCCCCAAGTGCAAAGATGCATTCTGATAAAGTTGTCTCATCAGTCAAGATCAGTCAAACAATCCATGTGCGGAAGGAATTTTTTACTGTCTGTGACAGTTACAGCAAAGTTAAGTGTCCAGCCTATTGTTGGGTCAGTTTTCATGTGTGATTTGTGTTGCACAATGATGCAAAAGTGTGGCACTTACAGAGCACAGGTACACGCCTGCCACAACATGTCAGACGAACTTTTGCCTGTTAGTTTTGAGCTTTCGGATGAATAGTGCCTGATGAGAGCTGTTAAATTGCTGTTGACATTTAACTCAGACTCAACATTCCTCTAAAAGATCCTTACAGCCATTAATTAGAAAAAAAAATCTGTAATAAGAAAAAAATGTAATAAGAATGGGATCCCAGAGTAAACAAATAACAATCAGGGAAATGAGAATTTTGAAATGCTCCCAAAACTATACTAATTTGTACTGGAATTCTAGCCTTTGCTCAAGGCAACAGTTTCTGAGCTTGACTGGCGCTCATCCCATTAATTGAGACAGCTGGAGACTTCTGGGAGAATGGGAACCTGTCTGTATCTCAGCATCCCTGTCTGGTCGAACGCCAACCATTGTGACTCCCTTTAAAAACTGCACAATCTGAGGTACAACCTTTGTGCAAGTTCAAAGACTGCACTCAGTGCTGTCCATGCACACTTCAATGTGACCCACCATTCCCAAACCAGGCTGAAGTCGATATTTGTGATGTTGGACAATTCCTCTCCTTGAGCTTTTTTTACACTTCAAAGTGATCCATGTTAAATCAAAATTCTGTCTGCAGTAAGCTTCTTAGCTTCTTAGGTAGATCATTACCTAAGGTGTAAAACTCCCATGAATATCTGAACAGTTCTACTATTTTAGGGTTATGAAGTAACCTACTTCAGCCAGGTTTTGGGATGGTGGGTCACACATGCACAACCTAATACAAACTGCACAGGTAAAATTGTACAAGTATGCAAATTAAAAAATTGCATACTTTGAAATATTGCACTGAACATGGCCAATGAGTACGGAATTTTGCCCCACATGATGAGACTCGTAAAACTAGTCTCCCAGAGAACTGCACATATCAGCCCCCCCTTTTTGGGTCAATCTTTTTGTGCTGATTGAATGGCATGAATAGGGACAAAAGCTACCAAAAATTGCCACAAAGAAGTGACACAAACTTGCCTGACTCAATGTAAAAATTTGAACAGTTGTCAATCCATAAGAATTATGAACAATTCACACCACTATGCACGCTAGTCAGGCCATCAGGATGGCAAACTGGCCAAAAATGTTCATATATCATGTGGTAAGCATGCATAATGCATCCGGACAGGCGAGCGATAAACCTTGTGCCGAGGCATGAAATTTGTGGAAAAGAGCTTGCTTCAATTTCGAGCAAAAAACCCTGAAATTAAACTCGTGAACACAGAAAATAGACAAGTGACCAAGTTCTGTGAAATAACTTGCAGAAATCTTCTTGCAACAACAATGTTTTTATCGAACGGGCTGCATGTGTGTATGGCCAGTGCAGTGTAACCGAGCTATTTTGACCGAGATATGTAGACTGGTTGCCACATTTCTATCACACATTTTTTTGCATGGGCGTGGCATGGCGGGAGCCAGCACAGCATTGCTTTAATGCACAGAACTTTGCGCACGTGTTTTTAACACTGCGATAGTAACATATAAAGGAAATCGTAAATAAACAAAAGTTTGTTTTCAAAAGTTGCAAACGTAAGTTGGAAAAACATATACATGTAAATACGAGCTCTGATGAGGACTCGCAAGTCTTTGGCCACAGTGATTATTATCTCCTATGCCCATCTTGTTTGTAATGAAAAAGAAATACGATGACTAAATAATGATAATTTAAACGTGGAAATAGATTGTTAAGCAGTGTTTTGTGAAGACAGAAAAGGCAATGGGATTTATTTTTTCATTTTTTGAAATTTGTTTTTCTAACTTACGGATAAAAATTTTAGGGTTGCACTGGAAATTAGGGTCGTTCGGGAAACCAGAAGCAGAAGTATTTTTGAGGGGGCCTCATTTAAGACACAAAGGATTCAGGCACATGTCAGAGTACCTTTTCATGTCTGACTAGTTTCCAGAGTAGGGCCCAAGAGGCAAAATAAAGGACCAGGCCACCACTGTACATGGTCACAGACATTACAGTCTGTCCCCAAAAGATTTTATGAATAATGGAAAAATATATCCGTCCTTTTAGGGCCCACAGGACATGCCTGATATGATATTAATTGAAGAGCATAACCAGGCTTAGACATGAAAGAACTCAGACATGTCAGATCAGAGAACCAAACTGTTCTATTTTAGCTTCAAACAGGTCAACTGAAATATGTAAAATACATTAGGCTTACTTTGTAGCAGCTTAGGTTTGCAAAGGCTGTAGCCTAGGCCTAGCGTCATGAACATACATGACAGATTCTACCTCCATGATGCAATCTAGTACCCCAAGAACTGTGGGGTCTGGACCCCACAGTTGTGGGGGAACTAGATTGCATCAATATCTATAGCAATTATTTGGCTATAGTATACTATAGTATAGGCCTACTACTTGCAATCTAGAATGAATGAAAAGCTAGTATCAGACAATAGGGCTAGCCCTGCAAATACATGTGGGGCCTAGGCGTACATAAAAAATTGTAACTAACAGTACACTAACAAACAATGTGTGGGCCAACAGATGCCCGACGTGTGTACGTTCTGCACATACTGACATAGCCTATGTCCACAGAGCTGAAAAACGATGATCATGATAATGCATGATATGTGTACGTACAGTACATGCATGTACGTGTACAGTACATGTACGTGTACGTGATACACAGACACGATAGATTTTTACCTGATTAAATGTGCTATTTAAGAAGTAAAACAACGAAAATATAAATATCACCGCCAGCACCCAACGTTTTCGCAAAATCTTCGCTGGAAACATGAGAGCTTTGGATGGTGTTTCGTAGGAAAAGAGGAAATTTCTAGGACCATTTTCGTACTAGTCGTATCGTATACAGCTCCAGTACTAGGCATGGAGATCTACCCGTAAGCCTAGCGTCTAGATCACAACCGGTATAAAAGTGACTTTTGATAATTTATACTTACATCACCATTTTCCTCCATGGGTCAAATGACGTCACCGTAAAATATGAATAATGCAGTACAGTCCAGAACGCACGAGTACAAAGATCAGGGCACTTTCAGTTTACTCGTATTTTCATGATCGGAATTTATCAAAAAAATAGGAAAGACTGAAAGTGTAAAAATGACATGAGCAAGGCTGGTGATGGCTGCCCCCAAAATGCGATCATTTCAGGCCCCTTTTGTCAAAAAAAAATTAATACTGAAATGCAATCCGAGCATTATTTTGACCCTAAATGCCTCACCATGGAGGAATAATGGCCTCACCGTCTCATTAACAAATACTATATAGATCGTGGTATTTTGTATTTGTGCTATACCCATTTCTGAGCTCGGTTACATTTATCATCAGCCAGAAACGGTATGCTTGAATTTTTTCAGTAGTCCTTGTGAATAAAAGTAGTATCCCTCAACAGAAGACCGCTAAAGGTATATTGCCATCTATAATTTATTATTACGAAATAAAAACTAAAAGTATTGGTTTTTTTCTCGAATAAATATGTCACATATTCCTTTTCAGTGTCTACGGTCTCCCAATTTCCCTTCAGCCTGGTAGGCCTATTCACTGCCAGCTTAGCATAATAATATAGCCTGTTCAGTGATTCCATTGTATAGCATGTACATGTAGCTTATGTAATGTTGCATGTGCTGCGATAGTTTGTATACCATGCAACACGGGCAATTCCCAATAGTGCGCCACCAAGGGTTTGCAACACGTTGGCCAATCATAACGCGCAAAATTTGTCGACCCTTTCCAAACGCGCATTGGGTCAACAAATTTCGCGCACTGTGATTGGCCAACGCGTTGCAAACACTTGGTGGCGCACTATTGTGAAACGGCCGTATTAGACATTAAATCGGAAGAATTGTCATTCTTCTGATACCTATGGATTGGACAAAGCCGATTCTGACGCGATTGTAAAAGCTGTCATTTCGAGGGTCTGAATGCCCATGGCGACAGCGTGCAAAGAGCGATTTCCAGAGTTTTAAGCTTAAGAAGAAAGAAGCCAATGGTTTGTTTCCTGTTTTCAACATGCGCATTTTCCGCTTTTCATTAAAAAAAATGGACATGGCATATTGGTCCCCGTACATTTGAAAAAAGTCTTTAAACGGGACTGATATATATATAAGTGATTCAAAAGTAGCCCCAATAGGGGAATAAATATTGAAACAAAACTAGGCGCCGATCTAGAGGGGGATGGGGTCAACCTCCTCCTGCTCACCCAGTATACAAAACAAAAAAGAGGAAAACCTGAAACAAAGAACATTGTACATAGACAACGCTAAAAAGATATGGTTCTCACCGGTTCCTTCTAATCCTGATGAATTGAAGCAAAGCTGTTCTTCCAAAATGGCCCTCAGCTCGTTTCCACAGGTCAAGACCATAGTGTCGTGCGAAGGTCGACGAACTTCTCCAGTCTGCTGTTTTCATGACATCATTAATAGGGGCTCTGTTAAACATTGCCCAGGATGTGGCCATGGCATGGGTAGAATGAGCTTGGACTGAGTTTGCCAAAGGGATGCCAGCAAGTCGGTAGCTTTCCTCAATTGCCTTCACCAACCTGAGATGGTACGCCTGCACACAGGGTGCCGGCGTTGCTTGCCATCAAAAGCAACCAACAGGAGCTGCTCCCTAACAGCCACCAGGGAGGATGTTTGACTGATATAAATGGATAAAGCCTGTTTAACACAAAGACCTAAATTGGCATCTCCAAATTCTGGAAGGAAAATATCCTGGCCCAAAAGGAGTGGAGTGGCAGTCTTAGGGAGGAAACCAGGAACAAAACGTACGCTTAACCCACCAGCTTCAAAACGCAGGTAACGGGTTTCACGACCCATAGCCTGAAGCTTGGAACATCGGTTCGCTGATGCGATAGCCACCAGGAAAACATTCTTAAGGGTACAATACTGCAAAGATGTCTCTGCTAAGGGTTCAAAAGGCGCCCGCTGTAGAGCCCGTAAAACTACATCCAAATTCCACGCAAGATGTAACACGGGGGGGGGGTTCTTGTGAAAGGCTCCTTTCAGAAACCTGCAAATAGTTTCATGCTGACCAATAGGCCTTCCACGAAGACCATTATGGAAGACCGGAAAACATCTAGCGTCCAGTAAGCTAATCCTTTCTCAAGAAAACTGACTGCATGAAGGTGCATATTTCCCCTGCAGATGCTGAGCATGGATCTGTACCCCGTGAAGCACACCAATCTCGAAACACTGACCAATGCCTATTATGCACGTCTTTAGTGGATGAGCGGACGTCACTCTGGATTGTTTCAATAACCTCTTCTGAAAGGCCTACCTGGCAGAGGAGTCTGCGCTCAGTTTCCATGCCGTGAGACGGAACCCTTCCGGTCTGGGGTGGCATACGCTGCCCTCCCACTGTTGCAGAAGATCGGGACAAGCTGGAAGCTGAATGGGAACATCCACTAGGAGGTCTAGCATTCTCGGCAACCATGAGTGCCGAGGCCAATTCGGGGCTACGGGGATCGCCACACATTTGTAACGCTCTATGCGATCCAGAACTTAATGAATCAGTGCGATCGGGGGAATAACGGGTTGACAGCAGTGCTGTCGACCCGTCCCAATTCAGAGTTAAGGCATCCACGTGAAATGCCTCGCTGCACGGGTCCCGCGAGCAAAACACTGGGAGCTGTCTGTTGATGGAAGAAGATTTTCGACGGAGGACATTGGTGGACTTGGGCTTGTACGCATGCCGGTACATCGCAGTATGAAAGGAAACACGACGAAGGCCATCGGCTCCATCGAGCTGGCTATCTACCAATTTGAACTCCTCCAATACTTCCTTGAAGTTGTTACCACAGAGATTACCATCCTCAGTAATGGGAGCTTTCCGAGTTTTGACTTGGTATTATCGGCCCAACGTGTCTGCTGAAGCCACATGGTGCGTCGGGCTAGTTTCTCATTGGCCGCTTCCCTCACCTGAAGGTCAAGCATATCCAGAGTGGCCTCCTGAGCCATAGCCAATGCCCGAGAAAGTGAACCAATATCAACCTGGTCCTTCAGATCTTCCAAGCTCGGCTGGTCAGGAAAATTCTGGAGGCACCCCTCCAGCTTTATTTGCTTGGAGGCCGCTTCTAAAAGCCAAGATTGGGACACAGCACAAGCCATTCCAATGTGAGCTTCCTTCTCTATATTCATGAAGCGGCGATCCACCACATTCAAGGTCTTATCAGGGAGCTTAGGAGCCACAGCATGAAACTCGGGGACCACCCGGCTGAGCTTGTGGACCAAGAGAGGGTCTAGCCTGTAGGGTACCTTATATTTTCTATAGTCCTCTAGAAATTTTGTACCTTGTTATCGCCCGATACAGGGGAATACGCTCTCGACTCCCAGCCCACAATTTGTCAATCAATTTCTTATGACCAGCTGCTAGTGGCAAGAGCACCTTATTCTGCTTAGGCTCGAAACGAGCTGATGTAATTTCAGGGTCTTCCCGTTCCTCGAAGTGGGCATTCTTTATTGGAAGGGAGAAAAAACACGAGAAAAAACACGAATGAGTGGGAAGATGCTTAAAAAAAACACTGGTGCGCATGCGTGGAGAGGATAGTGAAGGGACCCGAACGTGGACACGTGACAGAGCTGTTTTTTGTCTTTAAGCACGATGAGTGGGGGTTCGAGGAAATGTCCTATAAATAATACAGAGGTAAAAGTTAGTACACGAATGAGAAAGAATCCACAAGTTAGCGAATAGACTTATAGCCGCAATACTTCCCTCTTCTGATGGGGCGATTACAGGCAAGGTATTTGCAAAACATGTCTGAAGTTCCCGCCTAAACGTTAGAAGCCTGGCATCCTGTCAGTTTGCATCCTAACACTGCAGGGTAACTCCGATCCCAACCTCATTACCGAGATATTTTTTTCATTCATTACCACGTGGTCGTCGAGGGGCTCAGTGCGCGACATTTGAAGCATCCGCATTGAAACGAAGAACAGGTGCACAGTCCGTCGTGCTTTGTGCTGAAACTGCGCGCTTTGGCTAGCTAAGCACGGCAGTCATAAAGATTTTCAATCTGCATGCTGCTGGTCGTGATGTTGCTTGACGTTCTTTGATATATGAATAGACGGAGACTCGGTGCAGCTGAGCCTTTTAAAAATTAAAAGCACAAACATATCTTTACCTCAACATGTCACAGCAAACAATTATTATGTGCTGTACGTGCTGTACGTCATTGCCCTTGCGAAGTTTATACAATCCATAATTCATGTTTCGCGGTGACGCCTATGACCCGGGGAGCCTTAAATGGTGATGTAAGTATAAATTATCATAAGTGTCCTTTTCCTGGTTGTGCATGTGTTACTGACTCGTCTAATTCCCCCGACGAATGCGCATGACGTCATTATTTTTTCTAGTCTGGTTCCCTCAATGTGCCTCAATTTCCAGACGTCTCACTGTTGTTACTGTGTAACTGAAACACTAATGTGACGGAAGCCAGAATGCCCTTTTGTTATTATTATTTATTCGGCATTCTTCACAAGGACACAGCACAATACAAACAGTACATACATGTAAGACACACAAGGCCAGCAGCAAATGCCAGGAGATGAAAAAGTTAACCTAATAACTGTGACCGAAGGGCTTCCATTTCCGATACTACTATACTGACTATAAACAACACATATAATATAAACCTAAATGTAAATGTTAAAAAAGGTTTAATCATTTCAGTAAATAAATAAATAAGCAAATAAATAATAAATAAGAAGTAGCAGAAATAAAATGAATAAAGTAAAACCATCCAGACTAAATAAATTAGGTAAAAATGAAAAAGGATAAAATAAATATTTATGGTTGAAATCAGACTAGAAAAAAATGAGGGGTTATCAAGAATTAATCAAAGATTATGTAAAATTAAAAATGGGTTACAA